ATATGCTAACTTTACACAACTAGAACTGTTTTTCAGTAACACACATGCAATCTCTGTGGGTAATCAGAAGTGGTAAAATCCAGTAACAACTGTATCGCCTGCTATTTTTACACATTTCAAACCACCCTGAGACTGCAAGAAGCTACAGTGACATTACATATGCATGCATACAAATCTTCCTCATCTTTCAGAACATCTGCTTTTGAAGCTTAAAACAACATAGAATGTTATAGAAGTTAAAAATAGATCTAATATGAACTGACCTACCAAATTTTCACCAACAAGTTAGAGAGGACTTGCAGTAATTAATGCTGGGGGATTACTATTCCAATCTGCCCATGTTTTCTAGCCCTTATGAAATCATTGTGAGGATCTGAAGGAATCCAGCCAAGTCAAGAATGCCCATCTCTTACGAAGACTGAGCAAAAACTGGGGACGCTAAGGAGGAGCCTTCAAGGAGGAGTGCCCTCAGAATTCAGCTCAGCCTATCGGATGAGAGAAGGAAGCACCTCCCATGTCTGGATGCTCTGAACAGCTCATCTGGAGAGGGCTGTAACTTCCTCAGAGTTAAGAGCATATTCATGCAGACAGTCCTAGAATCAGTCTCCTATGCCCAAAAAAGAAAAACCAACTTCCTAAAATCCAGGTGCCAGTCAGAGTCTTAAGTTTTGAATTATAGTGGAGCTTAAAAGTTTCTGAATTTTCAATATTTCTGCATAAATATGGCTTAAAATAAGTCCTAAAATTAGATAGAGAACCCAGTTAAACAAAGGACTCCAAAACATTATATTTGATCACTGATTTATTGAGGGAAATGAGCCAATGCTCCATATCTGTGTGTGGCAAAAGTATGTACATGTTTTGCTTTCAGTAACTGTTGGGTCCTCCTTGGGCAGCAATAACTGTATCTAAATGTTTCTGCTAACCATTGATCAGCCCTGTATATTGGTTTGGGATTTTAGCCCATTCCTCCTTACAGAACAACTCAGGGATGTTGGTGGGCTTCCTCAGAGGTACTGCCTGCTTCAGGTCCTTCCACAACATTTCTATAGGATTAAGGTCAGGACTTTGATTTGGCCATTCCAAACGACCCCTTCTTATAAGGACAATTCAACTGCGCAGGGACCGGAGGAAAAAATAAGAAGAAAATCAAACCTGAATAATTTTAGAAAGAAATCCCAATTCGGCCAAGGAGCGAAAGCTAAAGCTGCCTGTCTCTGCGAGGCTGAGCTAAAAACTGGGGGAACGCGTGGAGATGTCACGTGGAGGAGGAGGAGCGTTCCTTCAATCATAGCTCAGCCTGTCAGAGCGAAGACTAGAGCACCTCCCATTATCTGGATGCTCGCAGCAGCTCAACGGAGAATATGGCATTTCTTGTTTTAATTTTTTAAAGAAAAATTAAGAGGAGTTAGTGGAAATGTTTAAAAAAGGAAATAGGATAGCCTGATAGTTCCAGGATGAATTAACTACATGGAGACACAATGCAATCTCAACAGAGGAAATTATTAACCTCAGTATCAAGAATGCAATCCACCACAATACTCAACAGAAGCTAATTCCCCAGCATTGCCTGAATTGCATTTATTCAAACAGTACTGCATATTTTCTTTCTCTGTGGGTTTTCTGTCACATTATCATAACTTCCTGATTATCTGATCTTACAGAAACAACCAGTGTGACACAATGGATAGACACTGGGTTTCAACATGGAACATTTTAGTTAGTAATTATATTCTATTGTGAATTACTTCACTGGATGTCTTCGGGCTCAACGGAGAAAGGTGGGATACAAATGCAGCAAATAAAAGAATCCAGCTTATTAACTACACACAAGTCTGTTAGAAAACTACATTTTTTGAGCAACAGCAGTAAAAACTGATGAAGACACTAATTACATACAGTAGTCTGTCTTGAGTCACTTTTGTCATCTGTTTGTACAATTCAGAAGCAAATGACAATGATCAAACAACTGGGCAGAAACACTTCTCCTGATTAGCCTTAGCAGATGCTGAAACAAACAAAGCCTGTACAAAAAAAAGGTTTTAAAAAGTTGCGAGACAGCATAAATGGCATTGACAATAAAGCAGGATAGAAAATGCAATCTGCCAGAGATACACCAAAAAGACCCATAAGAGATTTTCCAGCTGTAACCGCTCCAAAACACCCCAATTCAAAAACAATACTGGAGACTTGTTCTAAAGATATTCTGATGAAAGGCTGCTGGAACAACAACAGTTCAATTAATCTCTGATTTCTGAGTCTCCCTTTATATTGGTGAATCATAAGGAACCTCATCCAAATGCTGCTAGATGAAATAGAAAAGTTTTTACTTAGACAAAACCAAATGGGCTCTTTTATGGCCTCCTTGTGTATATATTATTCTGCAATATGAGAAATTATGCCATCAGTATATATTATTCAGATCAATGTTTCTCAACCTTGGCAAGTTTAAGATGTGTGGACATCAACACCTTTCTGTCTGGAGGGTTCTGAGGGTTGAAGTCCACGCATCTTAAAGTCGCCAAGTTGAGCAACACTGGTTTAGATATTCAAAGATTACAAACCAAAACACCAAATAATTAACAGAATTATTTGAAGAAAAGTTTAGGTTTTTTTGTTTTGTGGTTGTTGGGTTTTTTTTTTTGTTTTTTTTGCTTTCAAATAATATACAGTTACAATATGCAATATACAATAATATAAATATAAATATAAATAATTATAACCAGCAGTAGATCTATTCTCTCAAGTACAGCAGAATTTCAGCATGAAAAACAATGACACAAAACGAATCCAAAGATTGTTCAACATTTGTCTGGTTGGAAGTTCAGCACAAAGAAATAATCACTGATATATCATACAGCTCTTTAAAAGAGTTTCCTTAGGAGAGAAGATTTCTAATAAATATACAGGTGTTAATTTCATATTATTAACAGTAAAGGTTTTCTCCCTTTTAACATCTGCAGCTATTTTTTAGTCTTTTCAAATAATAACTATATCAATATTGGCCATTAAAATACTAGGCACAAATCTACTAATTAGAGCTGAAATTCTCTAGGCAGTGTGTAAATACTGTAATCACAGTAGCCTTTAAAAAAAATAGGGCAAAGCTATAAAAACTGCAAGCATACATTAGCAAATTAAATCTATCAGTAAATTCACAGGGCTTAAATTCAGTTTATAGGAAAACTTAGACATTCCTAAAATCAAAAATGTAATTGTTAATTCATAAAACATCATTAATATTACTAGCAGCAAATTAAGAATTCTTACATTTGATATATGAATACAGTACTGAACGCTACAGAATGGCAACAATCTGATTTAGTGATTAAACATAGCTTTGTTACATTGAACAGAATACAGCTCCTATCTTAGTTTAGTTCATTTGTACATCTGTTCATACAGTACCAGTAAACAATACTTTTCACAAGTTGATGTTATCATGAGAATTTAACATTAAAAGCAAATGAGTATCAAAGGAAGCATTCTGGAATGAATTGTTATCCCCAAAGCTTTTAGACATTTCTCATTAAGCAGACTTCCAAGCAAATTTCAAAATATGGCAGCATTTAAGAACCTTTTAAGAGTTTTTTTTCTGATGCTATCTTTAAAGTCCCTTGATGGACATCTGGTACCTAGAAGAGGTAGAATCATTTATTTCTAACGTTAGCTGCAGAAGTTTTTTGTTGATTTGTTGATACTATTTAACCCTGAATCATTTCTTCCTAAGATCAAGTAGGGCTCTAAAAATGAGCTACATATCAGGAACATGTTACTGCACTGAGAATCTCAATTGATGCAAGATTTCTTACTCTAGGCAGAAGCTGGCTTTTGACCATTCTCTACAACCACTCCTTAGTCAGCTAGGAAAATGCTATCAAATTACATGCAACAGTGCTTTCCAATATGTAATAATATGTAAAGTTAATATATTTTCATTTCTATTTTTAGCATAGAATCCTGCTTTCTATAGATTAACTTTGCTGATTATTGACTGTAATTAAATAAATTTGAATTTTTGAATGTTGTAGAATTAAACATTAAAGTATATTCTATATTACTAACAAAAATAGAGATTAAAAATGGGGTAAATGCATTTATTGTTAACTGGTAGAAGCCACACACGAAAGAGTATTGGAAAGAAGCAATGTCAATATCTTAAGTAGACCCAATTTACACCTTAAAAAGGGTAACAGTTCTCATGCTCTAGTTACCTCCCGTTTGGATTCTATAATGTGCTCTACATGGGACTGTATTTGACGAGTATCCAGAAGCTTCATCCAGTGCAAAATGTAGTGGTGGCATGTACAGTTACATGTGCAGGTAGAGTGGTATATATCTTTACCCTGTGAGCTACATAGGTTTGTTTGCTTCTGGGTCTAATTCAAGATATTGATTTTTACCTCCATGGCATGGGGCTAGGTTATCTGAAGGACTGCCTCTCCCATCTTATCAGGTCTGGCCTTATCAGTGCCTGCCTTGTGGAATCTTCTCCCCTCAAAGGTCCATCCCTCTTAACATTTCACAAGTTCCTCAAGGCCTAACTATGTCACCAGGCCTTGGAGTTCTAGAATTGGGTAGATTTTGTGATGGTTCCCTTACTGTGGTTAATATTATCATCTCCTGTTTTGTATGCCACTTTTTATTTTTAATTGTAAAAATAATTATTTTTATTTCATTAAGTTTTGTATACACTACCCAGAATCACTTTCATGTGGGATGGGCGGTTATATAAATATGATAAATAAATTACAACACCTGTGATGTCATCACATCAACCTCACACTATCTGGGGCTTTTGGACGCTGATTTTAAAAAATAGAGTGGCTCCTACTATATATACAAGATGGGCGGCAAATAAATGCACTAATAAATATAGTTCACCTCTCTTTTTATATGGGAGATTTTCAAGTGCCTGAACTCATTTCAATCATATATATTGGTATATAACTAGATCCCCAAAGTCAATATTTATTTTGTTTATGCTCTTGTTCACTCACCTCTCCATCGCTGTCAGATATGATAATGAATGTATCCGCATAATGTGTTAACTCTGCATTTGAGAGGTCCCTTGGCTCTTCTTCTTCTCCCTGATCTTTGAAATCAGGCTCATTTGCAGTTTTTCGCTTCTTCTTTGGCATCTTTTCCACTGAAACAAAATGGATTAAAGCTTTTTAGTTGGTTTCCTTTCCTTTTGACAGAATGTTGCCTTATTACCTTGAAGTGAAACACCATAGATTCCATTCTAATCATATTGAATGGTGAATTGAGAGCATTAAGAGACACGTTCATAAATCCCTACTCATCCAATTAAGGGTACCTTTTAAAGCAGATTAAGGTGGTATAACAAAAACTAATTGCATATTCTAAAGGAAACGGGGGGAGGGGGGGGAATGGGAAAAGAGCTTAGTTAACCCTTGTGCAAAAGTTACACATTTAATATCAGGAACCAACAGCCGTCCTTTCCAATATGTTAATTTCTCCAATGCTGGTGCAGAACCCACCAAGTGAGATTCAGTGATCTAGAAGGGAAAACCAATATATGAAATACAATTGCAGCTTTCATATTCAGTTAGGCATAGGATGGGGGTTACATTTTTCAGACACTGTCATTCATAAGGGCTTGGTACACTGTAGAAATGAGGCAGAGGTGAGAAGAATGGCAAAATGATTAAATGACACTTTGAGGAGGGAAAAGGTCAAGAACACTTGAGTTTCTTTTTAAATTAAGCTTCTTGCTAAACAGCGTACTCATTGTGCCCTCTACTGGACTAAACTACATTAATTCCATAAAAGATACTTTGCAGGTACAACATTCAGAAAACCTTTGACTATTAGCCCTAGACATGCTAAGAGTTAGGAGAAACAGAGGGAAGGCAAGTAAAAATGTAAGTAAAACTATTTTCCTTTCCAAACTATACATAGCAATTTTCCAAACTATACATAGCAAAAAACTTATACAAAAAGCTTTATCAGTGAAAGCTTTTTGGTCTGTGAGACAACTAAGAGAAGGGGGCAACATTGCAAAACCTTTTTTTTCTACAACACAAAAAAACTTTTCTGGCAACCAGTTCAGCATGTGAACTGATCAAAACACATTCTGATAATATGTTTCTCATTTAGAGAGCTTTTACAAAAACAACTTAACTTTGTGGTTCATAATCATGTATTCACTTAAC